AAAATTCCAGTTTGCGAGCGCAAATTACTGCACGCAAAATTGGATCTTGATAAATCCGGCCCTAAGAGGCGATACAAGACCTATTATCCAGAGGCACCCCAGATCACGGAGATACTAGGAAGGCAGACAAAGGCATGGCCGCAGCCACCGGAGAAGGGCAAACAAGAGTACCCGGAGCCTGGCCCCCAAGGGGCCAAACCCCAAAGGGGCCCAGTCCCTGAGAGACTCAACCCCGGAGGCCATAGTGCCGGGGTCAAACGGTGCTGCGGTAGTGAGATCATGGGCTCCGCCAGCAGCAGGTTAGGGGCAGGGTGGATATGGATAAGAGCCCAGGGGTCCATGGGGCGCTCCACCCCAAATTTGGGACCCCACAGGCCTGGCCAAGCAGCCAGGCAGGAATGAGACAGTGCCCACTGAAGTATATGTTATCTCTTACCTTTGCAATGCTGCATTTTTACAGAGTAAAAGAGAATATACAGAGTCAATGTTTTACTTTAAATGTAAAACATCGACTCTGTGAATCTGTGTGTAAAGTTTGGGGTAGAGCCATTTTTGGCATTATGATTTTAGCTTTTAATTTTTAACAAAAGCTGCACTTTCCCTCCCACTTCGATTCCCTGAGAAACTATTGTTTGGATGTAGATTTTAGTAAGTTATTTATTTATCTTTTTTTTGTTAGTGGTACCTTACAGATGCATTGGTTAAAAAAAATAATTCAAATAGACAGGGTAGATCTTACTTAATTGTAAACATAGATTGTATATTTCTAATACTGAACCTTGAAAATCAAATACTAGTAAACTTTCAACATCTTGTTTCAAAGGCATTTTTATTTCAATTTGTTTACTTTTTTTCCTGTAGCTGAATTTTAGAATATTGTCACTTGTTTTGCCATCTGCATCACTGATATGTTCTCTCAGCCGAGAACAGCCAAATGATGACTCAACACACACAATGAAAAAGATGAGTCATTTCCCATCTGAACAGCAGAAATGACTTTCAACCACGAGCATTTGTTTATCAAATGTAGTGGGAGAAAAACATGAAAATTGTACGTTTTAAAGGTCCCATAACGAAAAAAATAACATTAGAAATATTATATATTTTATATATACGGTATATATAATATACAATCAGTATAGTTTGAAGCCTGTATATGTGATTTACAAATAATAAAAAACTTTCACCTCCATCATTCCCTTTCTCCACCTCTTTGCTAATGTGAGCTTAAAATGGTCTTTTTGCCCTTTATGATGTCATAAGGAGCAATAAGCTGACCAGAGCGGTCTGTAGCAGCCCATCGGTCAAGCTCCGGCCTTTATTATTTGTATTATTCCACCCTCCTAGCCGCTATCTTTACCAACCCAGACTAGTTGTCATGTTTTCGGGTTTTGGGGACCAGAAATGACAGGGGAGTGGAACGACAACAGCTTATGAGTGCTGAATAAGGAGATTTTAGTAAAGGCTGTCTGCCTAATCTAAGTTTTCCTGCATAAGTGTCAAAACCCTGATCTGGGGGCCTTGTTAATATTTTTTTTTATTTTCAAATGTAATATAATATGGGACCTCCCGTCGTAGGAGGCAAAACAGCAAAAGAAGCTGAAGAAAATTGTTAACGTTTTATGTTCCCCAGTGTTAAAATTGAGAAAATGTGTAATTTAATAGTTGAAATATCCACAGAAAAAAGCTTTAGATAAGCTTTGATGTTTGTAACTTAAATGCATCTGAATAAAATGGCCTGTACTTATATGGCGCTTTTTTAAGTCAGGAGACTTGACCAAAGCACTTTACACTACATTCACTACATTCACTCACACACTGATGGTGGCAAGCTACATGGTAGCCACAGCTGCCCTGGGGCTCACTGACAGGAGCGAGGCTGCCATACACTGGTGCGACCGGGCCGTCTGACGACCATCAGTAGGCAATGCAGGTGAAGTGTCTTTCCCAAGGACACATCACTGAAAGCCAGAGCCAGGGCTTCAACCGTCAACCTTTCGATTTCAGGGCAAACTCCTACACCCAACGCCACTGTCGCCCTTATATTTAGTAAAAAGCCACATCCTGAGTAAGGAGATAATTTCCTTATTAGCCTTATTTCCTTACCCAGTACTGAGAACAAAAAGTTATTTTTGTCTTTCAACAAAGTTGGAACCCTAGACCTCAGGTTGTTCTCATTTCCTTAGAAAACTTTCAAACAATCTGACTAATAATTAAACTTTATTAATCTCACATTGGAGAAATGCACCTCTGCATTTAACCTATCCCGTTGGGGAGCAGTTGGCTGCCATTGTGCAGCACCAAGGGAGCAGTGTTTGCGGTTAAGGGTCTTTGATCAGTAGCTATCTCTGTGGTAGTGAGGCTTGAACCTCTGGATTCCAAGCTCTATGCTCTAACCACTAGGCACTAGGACTGTATGATCTGGTTGCCTGGTAAAGTGCCTTGAGATGACATGGGTTGGGAATTGGCGCCATGGAAGAAACTGGATTGGTATGAACTGAATTCCCATTAAGCCTGAGAGCACTCAGTCCATCTGGCAGTGAGGTAGTAAGGTCAAGGATCAGCAAGGTGAGCTTCCAAGAACTCAGTGCTTGTATAAACAATTGGCAACACACCTGTGCTTGATTGGACCAAGCCACAATTAAACAGGTAGAAAAACAACAAAGTCTTAACAGAGAAACAAGAATAAAATTATTAATCCAATTTACAAAATCATCTACATAATGAAAGAGTGGCAATATAAACAGTATAATACAAGATAACTTGAAAAGTTACTTTAAAGAAAAGCAAACAAAGCATTACTCCAAAGAAAAACCCTCTAAATGGTAGAACCCAGCAAGGTGATCAATGACATCATATGGCCAATTTAGCAGAAAATACTGGGAAAAAATACTATGAATATACTTTGAAACCTATCAAGTTCAACCAATAATCCAGAAGTAGTGGCTTTAACCTAAACATGTAATTAGATGGAAACTTCAACATAATGATAACACAAACAAACCCGGGATAATAAGTGAAGCAAAGTTGCAAACTAATGTTTAAAGTTAAGCATTATAAATCAGAGATAAGAATAAAAGACAAGTGGTGAACACAAACTGAACCACTTTGTCACACTGGCTTCTAAAAGTACCACCTCCTCCCCTTTTCCTGACAACTATTTTCATTAATTTCTTTATGACATAACATAAAACCAGATAATAAACAGCTAAACTGAAAATAAAAGATGGGTCTAAGAACCGAAGGCCAACATGTCCACGGCACAAATAGTATCACAACATAACTTCAAGTGATTTAGGAAAGTAGATTCAAAAATATCCAACATATAAACACCTGGACTACATTAAACTAAGTAGACTGTTGGTTCTCCTGGAAACTGAATTATTAACATGGAGAAAACAAAACACAGCAGTTTCACTTCCAGAGACCGTAAATAAAGATCTAATTAAAAGATGTTTCAAGTGTTAGAAAATTGATCAAATAATTTTGAAGTTTCATTGAAAAAATAAGGAATATTTTGCATGTTGTTTTGTTTTTCTTAGGGAGCAACAGGACAGCTCCTGGGGATAAGCGTTTTTCTCAATGATCAAGCAGTTTTGGGGATTCTAATCGGGGAACTATCAGGCCCCACCCTGACGGGAATTAACCACATACCCTTGTTTTTCAGGGTTCCGATTCCTCATGGACATCTGTCTGTTGAAACTTAGATGAAACAGCTTAACCATTCGTTCATCCTGGTTTAACATATTAAGGACGATAAAAAAAATGATAAGCCGTTCTTTAAAAATACGTTTTATTTAAAAGCCTGTTTATTTATGCTAGACTATAGTTTTCTGTGTTTGCAGCATATTTCAAACCTATAATTTAACACAGCAAGAATAATGAGGAAAGAAGGAGAAACTACCATGTTGAAACCACATAGCTGTATCTGCTGTCCACGATTTAAAATATAAGATAACCATTATTATCTGAAATGAGCACTAAACATTAGTGAACATTTCTATCCCCAAATTAAACGACAATCTCATTATTAGATGCAATATTCTCTTCAGATTGCAGATTTGTTCTGTACAGTTTTCTTTGTCTAGCTTAACATTAGTACAAGAAAAATGCTAAAAGGAGGAAGTGCAGTCCTATGACATCAAACAACTGCCAGATCCTGAACAATCAGTGGAAGGGGGGAAAAAAAAGGAAATGAGTTTGGCAGGTAATACCAGCTAAAATGTATAAAATAGGCTTGAAATCCTAAAAACCCCTGATCCGTTGAGCAATTGGACTTAAATACAATCTTAAGAATTTAGGAGCCAAATCAAACTACCTACAAAAAAAAACTTTAAAGTTGTCACCCATTTCCACACCTTTATTTTTTTTTTTTACATAAAAACAATTATAAAATATATGCACCATTAGCTACAGGGCTTACTTTGGGGTCATTAAAGTGAAACCTGCTATAGAAAAGCAGGTCAACCTCATGGACATGATCAGATTCAAAAGAAAATAATTCAACAAGACAGGAAAACTGGGGCAGTAAACTAAAATCAAGCGAACGCCTAAGCAGGGAGTGCAGTTCAGCATTGTGTCCACTAGATGGTGCCAAATGATCTGAAATTCACTTTCCTGATCTCTGAAGATTTTCTCAGTAAAGTAAAACTTGTTTTTAACTTGTCAGGAAGTGTCTGGTCATGCTTAGTTAGTTACAGGAACATCTCTAGATATTTGAGTTTTTAGCTTCAAGGTTGTTTGGTTTTAAAAACAATGTAAAATTTGGCTAAAATATGAAAGTTTCCCGTTTCTTTTTGATAAGGAAATGAAAATTAAAAATTAAAATTAAAAAACACTTAAATTGCACAAAAACAAAAAAGAATAAACTAATATTATGGTTGAAGGTTTGTTTTGTTTACATCAATAATAAAGCAAAGCAATGATGACTTGCAATGACGATAGACACATCATAGGGGGTAACCAATTATTTTATTATCAATTTCATATCAAATTTATGTTTCATAAAACTTTTCTTTCTCAAATTGTGCCATGAAGGATATTACTGGAATGAAATGACCGAGCACTGCAATAAAATGTAAAGTTTGCTACATTAGTACAATTTTCCATTAAACAACTTCACAGATAAACAGAAACCAGCAGCTGCCTGCCTCCACCATCAAAACAACCATAAGAAAAATAAACAGAAAAAGAAATACTCATGGTAGATAATAGGATGAAAAGATCGGTGGAAAACACAAGTACTCTCAGTAAACATTAATGCACATTCTAGTGGAGAGTAAGGAAGATAAGTTAAAAAAAAGTCCCCTATCAGAGCAAAAACCAGACTGTAAACACAAAAAGCTAGAATAGTAAAAAAGAAAATAAAAGGTTTAAGATCAATTTTCTTCCAATGAAGCTGTGCTGCTTTTTGATTTTTCACTCAAATGCTTTATGTTAATATCAGGCCATTAAATGCCAGAAATTTAAAAGCAATTAGACTTATGTTAAATGTGTAAAATACTGTGATTTAAAATGCAGTCAATGGAAAATAAACCTTTTTAAAAAGCCAAAATAAGGGATTTTTATAATCAAACGCCTTGTTTCTGTCAGTTATCCAAAATAAGCATATTTTTCTTTTAAATTGAAAACTTAATATCAATAGTAAAGCCTGTATGACACTTATATAACTTACAGCAAGGGAAAAAAACATTTCTAGCTTTATGTGAAAACAACCTAAATTTAGTGCAAAACAAATTTAACAAGCACTTTGTGAGAATGCTGGAGTTTCAGTTTCTTCAGCTGCAGTGAGACGTTTTCCATGATCGTTTTTTCAGTTCACTGAGAGTCCAAAAGCCTCCATGCTTCAGTCTCAGATTCAACTCACTGTCCTTTGGACTAGGAGTCAGAGAAAGGAACAAATAAAAAGAGAAACCTTCAGCTATCAGCTCACATTTGGCTATGGCTTTTTTTTTTTACGGCTGCCATCAGAGCCACGTTTCAAAGTAACCAGTCAGGAGGTGGAAGTCGGCTGGTGATCAAAGTTTCCTCTCCTTCCTCTTCTTCGTTTTCAGTGCAAATCCATTAAAAATAAAAGTCTCTCAGAGCCATCCTGTCTCACGCTGAAGGAGCTATAAAAGTGCTTCGGTTCGCAGGGGACGTTTTTTTGCATTTCAGAAACTCAATAAAACAAGAATCTCAGTTAAAAGAGGAAAATAGACAACATACATTATGTACATTTTACATAAGCTCTTTTAAAAGTCCAACATGGCTGCCTTTTTAAGGTGGACCAAAGTGCTGTTGCTTTGCATCGTGTAAATGAAACGGTGGCTGTGCTGCTGCTAAAAAATAACCAACAAAAAAAATATATACACTTTCCTAAGAAATTCAGTAACAAAAACACAGCTCCTCTGACGGACCCCGACATACATGGCATGTCAGGAAGTCCTCAAACAGCAACACTGAGGTGTTTAAACATGCAGGCAGCACGTCTGTAAAATGGAAAACTGTACCAGAGCAGGAAACTTCTCCATAAATATTGCAGTGATTAAGGCCAAACTGGGTTCATCTAATTTCTAGAATTTAAACCTCATTCTTTGCTCCAATTAGAATCTTCTTATTGATGTTTAATCCTGAACTTTTAGCAGCGATTTCAGGTGAATGGTAATTTGCTCCCTGCTTTGGTTGATCTGCTGCGGCTCTTTTACTCCCACCCAGTGGCTGGGAGGTTTGGGTAAGACACTGGGTGATGGCGGCTCGCTGAACTTGGCTCCAGCGTAGATCTTTTCACAATCTTGGAGGTAATCTGCGTCGGCAGAGGGACTGGCCGGGATCGTCATGTTGTTTGAGACGTTGAGGGGCTTCTTAGGAGTGCGGTTGTCGTGCTTTTTTGCGGAGGGGGAGCCGGCGGGCGACTGGCTCTGCTTGGGTTTGTGGCTCCTGGTGTTCACATTGTGTGGGATTTGATCATGTCTGGGGAGATGTCTGGGAGGCTGAACAGATTTAGACTTCAGCACCTGGAAAACAAAAGATTAAATACTATTAATTAAACTGTAATAAACACAAACCTCTTTACCCCATTTAAAGAAAAAAAATTATCTTACTGCCCAATTAGAATTTCGTATATCACCTATAAACAACATTTTACATAAAATCAGAACACCTAAATTCAATATTTATTGCTTTAGGTTTTTAAAATCTATATTTTTTTATAGTATTTCCTGAAACTATAACCATAAATTCCCTCACCTGACGTTTAATTTGTACATATTACTATATCGTTTGTTTAATTAAGTGTTTCTTAAACTTAAAATTAAATAAACTCTATAAATAAAGTTTCATTAAGCCTTTACAAACGACAGTCACTGTTTTTAATTTCAACCAAAAGATAATTCCCAGTATATCAGTTAAGACTTCTGGCTTTATTTTATCAAATGCATTAATCAAACCCGAGTGTTTTCTGTCCATTTGATGTTTTTTTTTTTTCCCTACTTTCTCTTCACTTCTGATCTAAGTGCATTCATGCATGCATCAGATCTGCAGGGGTAAATAAACATCACCTCTTTTGTTTCCAACACAAACTAAAGTTTGATTTCAACAACCGTTGGGATCAAATTTTATGATCCATCAGCTCTGATGTTCAGTACTAACGGCTTCTACCCACGTTCCGTTGTGTTGCTCATGTACTCTAGTTTCTGAGTCATCGTACTGACAGCAACCGTTTGCTCAAACTTTGGACACTTTTATTGCAGCTTCAACCATGCAATTCTCTTCAGATCATGTACAGACATGCCTGCAAATGAAAGCTTTAAGCAACACATTGCTAAGCAAAATAAATAAACATCAGTCGTTTCTTTAGACTCATGTAGTACTCATTGATTTTCTATTCAATCAAAATGAAATTTTAGAGTTGGGTAATATTTAGTGTCAGGGAAGCAGAACTGGAGCTGAACAGGATGAGTGGTTGAGGAGGAAACTTTTCGTTGTAAAATCATCCTTTAACGGTTTTCTGTTTAATCAGGGTTTGATTTTAAACACTCATTTCAAAATAGGTCGGCATTTTAATTACAATAGATAAATGTAAATCCATAAAATAAAAAATTGTCAAAAACAATGACAGGTTTTCCACCAAGTTGCTGTTTTGATCCTGCAGCTCTTTGTGATGATATAAGAGCTGCTGGGTAGAAACTGGAGCAGAATGAATCGGTACTATAAGACTAAATGATTCTTATGTTTTGTTTATCAAAATTACATTTTTGTAAAATGGAGATTTCTTTCAATAATCCACTTCTTGGACTTCCATAGTTTAGAGTGAGATCAGTTTGCTACTTTTTGTTTTTAGATTTGTACCGATTACTGGTGAGCCAACTCATTGTGTGAAGCCACTATCTTCAAATATATAGTGTTATATTTACATTGTTTGTTGTGAGAAATTATGTTTCTGCTTCAATTCCATTGCCCCTAAAATAAAAGGTCTCCTCCAGGAGGAGATGACTAAAAAACAAGCTAGTTCTTGGAAGCAATATTTCTCATTTAGTCTGATGATATATAGGTGAGAAAAATTATTGATTAATATGATTTAGTGGGAAAACAAGTCAGAGATTAGCTCTTTAAGCCAAATTGTGCTTAAGTGTAAAAAAAAAAATAAAAAAATAAAAATGCCAAAGACAATTTTAAATCACGGAAGTGAAAAAACTATCCTGTAATGTATTTATTCCTTTTAGATCACTATATTTTTCTGAACCCTAGTGTATATTTAGTGACATTGTAAGTAAAAAGTCAAATACGTGGGCATTTCTGTGTTTGAATCAAATTATTGAAGTCAGTTTAAAAAGAATTTGAAAGACTGAATTACATTACCAAGAAAATATATAAAAATAATGTAGAACTTTCAACATAAAACTGATTTTAAAGCAATAATTAGTAAATACATTTGAAGATCATGAAGGCACCAAGAAATGTAAATATAACTAATAGACTACTATAAATTATGAAGAATATTTAAAATGTATTTTTTTCCTATTTTATATGAACTATGCTCTTATTTTATGGTGTTTTAAAATATGTCACTAACTTTATCTAATTATAGGCCAGCTGATTGCTTGTGTTACACCCTTTAACTACAGTGACGCATTTCTCCTTTTGTCTGGCAGACAGACCTGTTTATTGTCTTATTGCAATCATCAGCTTAGTTGAAGTTAAAAAAAGAAGTAGGACTGGGAATTTCACTTATTTCTGCATCACAATTGCTGTAAATGCGTCAGTGAAATAGCCTGGGGCACAAACTGTAGTTTCAACAAGGCTCATTTACATCATGGATGCAGGCATAATGAAATGCAATAGATTACATAATAAATTAAACATAAAATACTATATAGTTACACTTCTTTGACATTAGAAGTAGTCATTTATAAGCAGAAACATGTTTAAGTTTGTGAGCAGGTTTGAGGCCTGTAGTGGACTTATTTCCTTATTCTTACCTCCTTCTTGGCTCCCTGTCGGACATGATGGTGGTTCAGCACCGCCTGGTTCCCTCCAGGCAGGTGAGCCGCGGACTGAGCCGAGGTTCTGTACCCTGAGGAGGCCGTCAGGGTGTTGTTGTTGTGGTCCGACAGCCGGATGTTCGGGCAGTGTCTCGGGGCTTTCTGGTGATGGTGCACCGACTTCCTCCCTCCCTTCTTCAGCAGCGCCTGCTTCGTTTTACAGCTCTGTATCGGGTTGTTGTTTTCGACATTTCCGATATTGGCTGGGTCACCGTTCGCAATAGTTCCGTCCAACATGTTTTTGGAGTGATGAAAACATAAAACAGGCGGTAAAACACCCGATGTGGCAGAGTTGTTTTAGCTAACAACGTCACAGGCTAACAGCGAGCTAACAACTTGCCAAGTAGCTAACGACACTTTTTCTGTGAGGTGTCGTCGAGCGGAGGATACAAAAACAACTTGTGTTCGTGAAAGTGATAAAATATCTGCGTTTCTGACTAAAGCTACAGTTAAAACGTCGTCCTAAGACTCGGGTCAGTGCTAATCTGAGCTGAAAAACCAGAAGTAGCTTTTATATGGCCTAGTCACATGACTTCCTGTACTGGCTTTTCAAAATAAAGGTAGCTACTGTCGTTGGTAAACACTTCAGAAATATCTATCTATCTATCTATCTATCTATCTATCTATCTATCTATCTATCTATCTATCTATCTATCTTGAACCTAAATACTAGGCCTATTAG